CCACTGACGAACTATACGTCCAATGCTACGGGTGAACGAAGGTTTCTTTCAAAAAGTGCCGCCTACGAAACGTAGCATGCCGTATGTTACAGCTGTCAACGCTGAACGCGTAACCCTCGAACGAGGGTCGGGCAGTGAGTAAGATCTGCTGTCGAGGGGGGCTGCTAAAGTACTTCGTTGCAATACCAAGAAGTCGTTCAGCATCGAAGGCTGACTAATATGCCGAATGTACATTTCAAATATAATAACAATGAGCAAAAATAATGATTCGTGCCTCCGTGTGGTTAGGGAACGACTAATCTCTGCAATATCAACAAAGCATTAGAGGCTCGTTGATACGGCATCGCTGTTTAGGTAGATTTAATCCACTGAGCGCATCTTCGCTTGGAAACACTCCGTTAATGGATATACCATATGGCAAAATTGATCGTCAGGAATTTTCAGTACGTCCAGCATAAATCACGAAATTACTATATAGACGTGTAGCAATATATGTTTACAACGATAGAATCCTCCATGATCATGTTGCATCATGGCTATGACCCTGTTGGCGGTTTCGATCCGCTGATTTCATACCAAGGCTTTTTAGCCGAAAATAAGTAAAGCTCAGAGAGATGATGAATCACACAGTTCCGCAATTTCGTAGTAGTATAGTTTGGGCATAGTACAAATGATAGATTTTAACAATGACTGAGTAGCGATTTTGTAAAATGAGATCAAGCGGGTCCGCAATTGAGCAAAACAGAACTATTTTCTACAGAGGATTTTTTTAAATAAAAAAATGTTATATTAAGTGAAGGTTCGCCCAAAAATCTGGTGTATATATGTATGGTAGCTTATCAAAACCTCTAACTAAAAGCATACGTACTTATCTAAACCGATGGCGGACCGAGTCAAGATGCACGAAGCACGGACTAGACGAAGATTTAGACGCATTGTTGGATCGGCAGGATGTAAGAGAAAAAAGTACATCGAACCATAATGGAAAGAGCAATTGAGATTAGTAAATGCCACTGTCGTATACCGAATAAGGCTTGAGCTACTCAGCGAATGCAGCGAATCACAGTAGTTCGCTCACATTTGCAAATATATAGATAATATGTGGAGAAAAACCCTCAACACTTTCTATAAATATTTGACAGTCCGTTGAAGAAATGATAGGAAGCAAAACAGATTAGTAATGTATTGGCCATCTGAAAGATGGGCACTGTTAGGCTAACATTGGGCTTGCCCCTGGACTATTATCGTTCTGAAAAGTGGAACTTTTTTTTCTCTTTTGGAAGGTAAAATTGAATCGAACTAGCTTGAACTTTAGCTTATCGGTTGTCACGAAGTGTCGGACTAGCGCCGAGCCAAGATATCGTAAGGGCTGAAATCAGCATTAGGATGAATACGATTAACGTTAAATTTTACGCGCAACTTTAGCTGGCATAAATCGTACAAATCATACAGACCCACGTAACAGCACCACTGTAAAAGAATTCCGCCTCAATATAAATAGACACTGACCCGGTAAATAAAATCTAATATGGGTGAAAATTTATATCGAAATCTGTCAGCAGTGAGTGTCTGGGATATTTTAGCGTACGCTTTTGCCAAATGGAAGTTCGCCACGGTGAGAAAGAGCATATCAGTAAAAAAAAAAAAAAAACTTGTTTGTACACTTGATCTAACCAACCCGTTCTAGTATTGTACCAGTGAACGTATATGGTATCGTTCCAAACATTATCTGTTGGATTTGTTCTATGTTTAATCACTTATCGTGTACCGCATATTATCGGCAGAGTTTAAAAGCGATTCTTAGTAAAGTGGTAAAATGGTGTTTTTGTTTTATATTACTATAGGAATAATTAAATCGATAAACAGTTACGAACTTTGTCGGCAAAGGACGAGGAGCTGAGGTGATTGACCCGGCAGCAATGTTGATGGGGCAACGCAAGCTATAACTTGAGATCGTTCGATCCTTCTATTCATGACACCTCAATGTACAGTCACTAGGCTAACTATTCAAGCTCACAGTTTTGCGTACGTTGTCTAGGGTTTATTCGTTCGGTGCAGCAATGGTATCTAACGGGGGTTCCGGAGGTAAAACTTGAATTATTTGGTCTACTGCCCTGACATTTTATGGTGCAAAATCGTGCTGTGTTTATTGTCTGCATCCGTCCCAAATAACGTATTCGTTGAATGCGACGTAATTAGCGTTTTCGGACTGATGAAATAACAACAGTGTCCGTAAAAGCAATAGTAAACTAGCAAATAACGTTTAATAAAATCGTCCTGCCATAGATTGGCTTACCAGTGAACTATATGGACTGATCGTTGTACCGCCATCTGTGCATAGTACCTTCGTTAGTTAACGCTGCTGATATATTCATAAGTATTATAGTACTAGCTTTAGCATGTTTGCAGGCATTTGCGAGACAATAGCCAGACATGCTTGGTTGGCAGGTGCCCAGTTCTAACTCCCACGTTGAGTCATATCCCTCCAAACTTTGAGAATGCTCGAATAACGAAATTTGAGATTGGATAGAGTGCAAAAATTTCAAAAGCTGCTGCAAAAGAAAGGTCACTTTCCAACAAAGTATAGTGAAGATAATATTGATCATGTTTATTGGAAATTGATTGGAAGAAAAGATGACCATCCGTCGACACAAAATTAAGCACCTAATTTAGACATAGCCATCTTTCACTAAAGATTGTCATCACAGACTACGAGCCAGGGTCCTTTAATTGTATTACCAAGTTTGGCCATGTTTTTCTATTCACAGCTAACACACAGCCTGCCCCCGAGGGAAATCTGTACGATCTTTTGCATAAAGCGACGTCAAGTCATCTGATGCTGCATGGACAAGTTCGAGAGCAAGCAAAAGGGCCGGCAGTTACATCTATAAAAATCTAGTCATCCCTCACGAGTCATTCGAACCTCGGCCTGTTCTGTTACTCTCTAGTTGTTGAACGCAGGGCGAGGAATTGGAGTTTCCTTTGAATGATTTTTACCCACGAGCAGCACAAATCTTTGGAGCAAGCGTCCGTGTCTGCCCACTTCCTATAAAATGTGTCGAGTGGGCACAATTAGTAAAGAATGTACGCCCCTTCGAGAGCTTCCATATCATGAGATAGGACGAGGAATGCCGGATCGTTATTCAGAAGTCAGAGGAAGTTAGTCCAGCCAAAAAATATCTAACCAAGACCGAAAGCAGAAATACGATATGCAGCAGTTGCAATTGCTTATGGAGTCTAGCCTGCGTGTTATTAACTTGTTTCATATACCGTACGTACTTTAAAGGAAACGACTTTTCCGGTGATGATAGCGTCCCGTGTGGTAAATACTGTTGAGAGCGTTTTGGCGCACTGACGACAATGAGTTTGAGAAGAAAATTTACTTCTATCTAGAACAACAATTATACCAGCCAGTAATAATGTCAAATCTTACTTGTCTTATCTTAAATGTCGGTCAAATGGCAGGCTCACTATACATACAAGCCCATGAAGCTATAGAAAATGTAAAAAATGGAGGGCCACTGTCTAGAATAAGTTACTCTTATCAATTAAAAGCAAACATAGTATGCTTTTAGTTACGAAACGTGTTGGTATATGATTCACGTGTAATCTGATAATTGTGGGTTTATATCATGCAAAAAATAGCTTATTTTTTGAGAACTTAGACAGTTTGATTTTTAAGCCACAAACACCTTGAGTGGCCTATGACGTGTGGACTATGATGCTGCGAACGTTATGTTTATAGCCAATGCGGCTTGCCTACCCTACGCACCTATTTAAGGATGTAAGGATGCAGGGCCTGGTCGGGGTAAAAGAGCTGGGCTTCTTTGCTGCATTCGATTTGGTTTGGGTTTGACTCTCCTGAAGAGAAATCATCCCCAAACGCAGTAGGCCGGTCAAACAAATTAACAAGTTAGCCCAAGCCATAGCGTGCAAGAACCTCGTAAAACTTTTATTCTTCCAAGCGTCCTTAGAATAAGCAATAAGTGATTAATTTGTGGTTCATATAATTCCTGTTATATGCGTTTTTTTGTACCTCGTGTACAACGTAAGGATAGAATACCATACAAGCATCTCCGACGCAACCAATAGCTCTACAGTTTTACTGTGTAAAACGATGATCGTGTAGTTTATAAGACTAATTGAATTGAAGTTATTAGCATAATAGGTGCTTTGAATCAACAATATTACAAGGCTTCCATAAAAAAAAAACGAACGTCATTACCTTTTTTTGCATAACATTTCCTTTAGTGACACTTGGGTAAGATAGTTTTTTTTTTTTTTTAGAAAAGATATATCTGCAAACTAAACGTACGTACAAAACAAAAAAGGGGTTCACATCTATTACCGTATAAGAACAACGACTGTATGATGATTACTCAATCTAAATTCGTCCCCACAATGTATAAATTTTTCTTATTTGTAATCTAAAGTCTAGCTTGGGAACTACGTTGTTACATGATTGACGCAGACGTTGGAATTGTGACCGTGGAAACCAGATAAAATGCATTAAAAGCATATTCAGGTGTTCAAGGCATATTCAAGCATATCCATCCAAAGGGGACATAATGTGTCGCTCCTTTTTATTACAAAAAAAAGTTTAAAAGCTAAAAAAAAAAAAATATATATATATATATATATATATAATTGCAACAAGTTGAAAACCAGCGTACCGAATGACTGCATCGCTAAGAGGTTGTACTCTGCTCCTAAGCTTTCTAAGGCGTTCCTGAGCCTGGAAGTTAAAAGCCATTATAAAGCAGTGGCAGCTATCTGCCATTTCATTCACATTCCCTTCATTGTTTTCATTCGAGAGTATAGAAACTGAAGGTCGGCAGCCCCAAGACACAAAACAACTAAGCGGTTACTAGGATTGAATCAAGGAACCAGTCAATGGATAGAAAAAAGGTTTTTTTTAGATCGAGGCGGGCGATAGATAGGCCATTATACTGGCGAACAAAAACGTGCCATATACACGCGGTCCTCCCAGTGAAGAATACATGCTTGGTTACTGGATTAACACCGGCAAAAGTTCTGATCTCCAACGCATAACGCCCTGGCAAAGCTTTTTGCAACCCCGCGAAACCCTGATCACAAGTTAGTACTTATAATTTATAATCTTGCCACGGCGGGCGTCTTAGCACCTAGGGGAGCGTAAACAAGACAGCAAGGAAGTTTACAAAGGTGGCGAATACCTTGACGAAAAAAGGTAACCGCAGGACCAAAAAAGAGGGGATTGTAACAAAGAAGCGAAGTATCATGCGGAACAATTGGTACCGCAAAACGATCAATGAGATGGACGGCTAGACGCTGATCAGAGAAATCGACGCCGCGGCTAATCCAAACACTCAAGCCGGAGCTTTACTAGCCTCAATATGGATTGAAAAACTGGATAGCACTAATGAAACCTGTGACGGGCAGGTTCCATTGATGAAGGTAGGATAACAGAACAGAAGCACCCATGCTAGGAAAAACGGCTGACAGCATCGTCCTGGTTTGATTGTTTAAAACTCTGAAAGGGATCTATAATAGCCGCTTAGAACAGTTGCTGAGCAAGTAAATTGGCCGAACCACAGTACTACTTTAACCTGTTAAAGGCAAACCTCTGGAGAACTCTAGAGTGTCCTGAGAACGAATATGACATGCAACTACTCAATAAAATAGAAGTGTCTTACACCCAATCCTTAAGGCCACATCGCCAACATGGCCTGTCTGGTCTGTTGGCAATATGTTGAAACGAAAAGAGTTAAGGGAGATAGGAGCCACACTACCAATGCCAAGAATGATCGTTCAGGCGCTGTAGTCAACTTCATAGAAGGCAATGTGATACGGTAAAAAGATCGACGTAAGCCCGTTACCTAAACGAAACAGGCACAGAGTAAGGTCAGCCGATAGGTGACTAATATATGTTCATTCACTACAGTCATAACGAAACTCCTGTCAAGGGGACCGAGTGCCAGTTTTACTTCGATTACGGGCCTACGAACATAGAGCTGCTAGGTGTCTCCAACGTCTGACTGCGAAAAAGAGAAATTCTTTGTCCACAGAGATAGCCTAAATGAGATCGATAGTCGCTGCGGATTTTAATGTAGCTGCTATTGACTTCCGGAATAGTGGATAGGAGAAACCTACAGGTTATTGATGACGAACACAATTCGACGTTTTATAGTAGGGGAACCGGGAGGCCAACATAGACTTGACAGTTTGTGCAGGCGGACCGGTTGAAGGAGTCAAGGGATGGCATGTTGTAGATGAGTTGAAGAATTCTAACGATCATGGGAATCTAATCTGCAAGCTGCAGGTGGAAGGGATAGTAATTCAAAATGAATCTTCCACTAACAGGTGACGTGGTACCGACCTGAACTTCGGAAAATTGTACAAATGTATACTGGAAGATGCGGTCAGTAGAGCATGCCGTGCACTTCAGAACGCCGCTAAGCATGAGGACGTAATCGTGATACTACTGGCCGTTTGTAGGGCAGAGACCATCCGATGGTCAACAGGCAAAAACTTATGTACCGATAAACAAATGGGTTCGCGAAAATCAGGGAAGTTAACGATAGAGCGAAACGAGTATAGGCCAAAGCTAAACATAAAATTTCAGTTGAGGTATTTAGATAATTCTTCTAAGAAGTCAAAACGAACCTGCTCATGGAGATCAAACGAAATATAGAAAATAAGTGTGAGAGCTTAGGAAAGATGTAAAAGCTGATATATAAAGAAAGGTAGCAAGTTCGTCTGAGGCTAGCAAGGTGGGACGCCAAGCCCCTACATGAGGAGGACAGCTAAAACCTGTTTCCGAGAATAAAAGACGACCGGTATGCGAAGCAATGAAGCTTGGTACAGTATCAAGTTAACTCGGCAGGATGCTGTCGAGGGGTGGGAAGCAGCTAGACCGGATGAGGTAATATCGAAGGCTGTGAAGAATAACTTGTCTAGGTGATGCTTACTGTTCAAGTACTAAGCATAAAATATAAAAACCATGTAACGTCAAGCAATCATCCGGAATTTTGTTGGTAAATGGTCTCCAACCCCTCACGGGAAGGCTAAGAAAAATACGTCCGAAGGAAATAGATAGATAACTTGTTATCTGGGAATCTCAGTTTAGCTGTTTCCTTAAAAATAGGAAGTGTCTACAAGCTAGAATAGGATTTCGGACATCTCTATAGCTAAGAGGCAATATCGCTAGTGATCTAAATAGGAGTCAGGATTAGCACTAAGTATGCTTTCGTAACAAGAGCACCACAGGTCTACTCTAACACCAGTTTTGTGGAGCCTTAGCTAAACAAAACAGCCTATGTAAGCGGTTTAGCGTTGGTGACTATTGGCAGAGCCGAAGCTGAATCGGAAGACAAAACAGGCACAGCCTCGAATATTGTGGCAGGTTAGATGAATAGATGCCAAGTAGAGCGAGAACCTGAGAATACAGAAGCCATTTTACTTATAGGAAGAAAGAAGTTCCAGAAGGAAGAAGCCTTAGTATCAAGCTGAAAAAACATCTAGCTCAACGACAAAAATAATTAGGTAGACAAGCTTACGAACCAGTAGGCCTTGTAGGGAAAAGAAAAACTCGATTACCTCAGTGGCGGTCTGCACAACTCTCGTCGCAGCTCTTAAAACCTGTGCCGAAAAAATCAAGGGCCGCTTAAGGAAAGCGTAATGGAGGTTTGCTTTCCATTAGTAAAAAAACAAATGTATCAGGATCAGAAGCACATCAGATACAGGGCTATGGAGAACACTCTCTAGAAGCTGCAATAAGAGTGAGCAAGCACAATCAGGGTTACTGTCTGAACTAGAAGATTGATAGCAAGAAAGAGTCCCACGCGAAGGTCTTCTGAAAAGTAGCCTACTACTTGACACACACTTTTACTGGCCATCTTCATAGCATAGACGCTAAATGACTTATGCATCGCATGCTCGTCCCGTGCGGGCGACAATGCGGTACACACATTGGAGCGGTGCATGTCCTACAAGAAATAAAAGGCAGAAATCGAAAGAAAGTTAGGGTGCCTACTTGATTGATGCTACGGTGAGCTGAATGTTTTTGGGATGAAAAAGCTGAACAATAATGGTCTCATATTTGATCAAGGTTCCAAGCTCGAAGGGTAACAAAAGCAAAGGAAATACGGATAGAGAATAAAACCTCTCTTAGCTTTGCGTTGAATCAAAAAAAGGTTATCCTCAAAATCTAAGTAATACAAAAACAAGAACGGATACAGGGCCCGTTACAAAGCAAGATGCGTTTTAGTTTATACTGTAATTGAAAACAGTCTCGCTAAAATCTTCAGGTAACAGTAGTAAAAAACTATAAGTGAGGCTCGGTATCCGTTAATACCAAAGAAAAGGTTCGTGTTTTTTTTCGCTAGTGTCTGTATAGTTTCTACGCATAAAAACGTATATGCCTCATACGCACAAGTATACGTTTTTAGTTCTAATGTACAATAGTGTATTGATTTTCGTTTTGCACCGAGACATACACAATTGAGGGAAGTGGGTTGACGAGTTCGAGAAAATATGGGATAGTGAGACCGAAATTTTAGAGAATCCGTTCAGGCCACCTCTTAGGAGAACAGATGGGTCCTTTGGGCCTTACCTATAAAATTACACAGTATGTATGCATTGGTCAGTAAACGGATACAATGGTGTCTAGAGAGGAATCAGTGTAGTCGTCAGCGAAGAGCGGCAATAAAAAAGGAAATAAACGTATTTGGATACTGGACGCTGTAGCGAAGCAAAAGGCACCAGATACTTTTGAACTTTTATTGTAATAAGCAGCATAACGAATCGAGACTTTGATTTTTAGTTGTACACTCCAGTTGGCCACTGCAAGCTGGTTTTGTAAATAACTTACAAGATAACATGAAAGCTATGAGAAATCCAACTTCTAACTTTTATCGAAAGTTGTTAGTTGTCTTACAGCATATATCATATATACCTAAACTACAAATGCTGCTATAGTCACTGATAATAAGACAAATTCGTGATAATTCCTTTTAAAACAAATAGAATATTCTTCGATGACATACTTTTTTTTTTGCTACGATCAAGGAAGCTGGCTATAAAACGGTCTTCACACTTCGTATTCGTTAGAGCTATATGCACTAAACGTTTCTAAATGTACGTCACGCATTTCTATGTGCTGGTATCCAAGTGGACGTCAACGGGTAGCATGCTATTCATTGGTCGAATTTGTCCACGAGCCACAAACAAAGTAATAGCGTGATGCGCCGTTACCGTCTGCCGACAACCTTTATTGGCTCAATAGTTTCTGGACACGCACCATATCTCGGAATGCACGCCAAACTCTGGATCTCTATGAGAAAGAATCTTGAGCGAGCACAAATATCTACTCGATTATCCTATGTTTCAAAGCTTGCCATAGTTTTTCCTCTTCCCGTTGTTTTTTCTCTAGTATACCAACAATGATTAAAAAATTATATATTTTGTACTGACTCGCCCCGTCATTCCATTCCGTCGTGGTCCGCTTCAGAGCAGCCTTCCATCGCCGCCATCCTCCATCTTGCTTCTCCATCATCTTCGGCCGGCGTTAACCATCGGCCGGTGCTAGGTTAGCTCGGTCCAGCGGCATCCGTTACCACCATCAGACCCACCATTATCAGAAGCAGTCAGACCACCATCCCGCATCGTCCTTGGACGCCGAATGGAACTCTCCACTCCCTTCGTCGCTCGGAGGAGAGCTCGAGGCAAGACAACTTCCGAGCGGTGACAGGGCCAGCAACGGCTCCGGTGATGGCGGCGCGCACGAGGAAAACGGCTGATCGTGTTGGTTACTGGTTATGGTCGTGGTATATATATACGTGGTATACGTGGTATTGTCGCTGGGATAGGGATCGAGACACGAACGAGCGAGGGGCGAAAAAGCAGAATACTTCACTACCGTCACTATTGCTGTAGTTCATGTCAGTGAAAGCTATGGTGCGGCGCAATAGCAAGTCATAGCCCACCAACCAACAGAGGTACCCAGCACCCCATCCGTGTCGCCTCACACGAACGCCCACTAAGCCGGAAGGATCTGCTAGGCCACAGCTAAAGCACAACTTCCAAGACACAGCAGGGCCGAACGGACAAGGCTTGTG